GTGTGTGTGTGTGTGTGTGTGTGTGTGTGTGTGTGTGTGTGTGTGTGAGAGAGAGAGAGAGAGAGAGTGATGAAGAGGGGAGGTTAAATCACGGGGCTGAACATCTTGACAGCTCTTTTGGGAGGTGAGGATGGAGGATCATCATTCCACGACACTTCTGCCACGGGGGGGGGGGGGGGGGGGATGTATCCTGCCGCTCAGCCTCCCCCCACACACACACACCTTTTAACTGCCTCTACTTCACATTTGTCACTACCACAGCATGTCACTGGACTACTCTGTTTTTAAAAGAGACATGAAAATGTACAGTGCCTCATTTTAGGTGGATGTATGGCATTGCTATTCATTTGAGGTACTATGATGTTTGTATTACATCAGTGGTCCGCAACATCAGATGTAGCCCCGAAGCGCTGTCAGATGAACTCAAGTAATCCTCTTCATCAACACCACCTGTCATGTTGCAAATGGATGTTAATTAATAAAAGTCGATAATTGTTTCAATATTTTTTCACACAGTTGCACTAGTTATGTTCAGGCAGATCTGTTCCTTACATGAACCTAACGATGGAATAATGTCTCCATTACTTATTTCAGTCATTTGTCTTACTCCCGGCTATTTCACCATTAATCCAATACTTCTAGTTTACTAGTTAAATGCCTAGCCATCGGGATCTAATATACTAAAATACGATTTTCATTTTTTTTTTTTTTCTTCGTTAGTTTTTGCCATCCATCAACCATTTACCATTATTGTTTTCTGAACCGTTTTCCCGATGGATGTATTACTTTAACTTTTCCCTGCTCACTAGTTTTCGCTCACCCAATTGCGATGCATGTCAGCGGATCTTGTACGTGTTTTTTTTTTTTTTCCAAATCAAATCATCGTTTCAAATTTTTCAAATACGTTTGGCTACTCTGCATTCTTCTCTCGAACCCCCCGACAACTGCAGAAGTACTCCTGAGGTACCAGTGCACCCTGGTTGGGAATCTCTGTACTACACAATAGTACATAATCACCATGTGTGTGTGTGTGTGTGTGTTGAATACTGTATGCATGTCTGCATACAAAATACAATGCTCTCTCTTACTCTGTCCCCCCACCCCCCCCCACCCACCCCCTTGTGCTTAAGGCAAAGAGGACTTGCCAAATCACACACACACACACACACACACACAGTGAGAGAGGAGAGCTGTCATTTGTCAACAAGGAACTTTGGCAGCTCACCGTTGCCATGGGAACTGTCTGTTGCTGAGGACTGGTTTTGCATCACAAGGTCCTCGAATTGGCTCCAAAGCCTCGGAGGTCCCACCCCTCCTCCACCCACCTCACCTCTGTCTCTCACAGCTTCAGACATATTGTCAGGATTTTCTCCCCCCACTACCCCCCCTTTTATTTTCCTCCCTGTTCTGCTGTCTCTTCCACCTCAGAGATAGAATTCCTCTGTTTCATCCCCGGTCAGGTCTTGTCATTAGCAGGGAGATTTGTATCTGCTCTTAGGCTTACACAAGCGACACGATGGATGGATAGATCTTGCGGTATTGCTCCTTTTACTTTACTACATGCAAATACTGCTGATCTTTGGGAACAAGCTCTTTTTTTTTTTCTTCTTCTTTCTTCTGGTGATTGAAGATAAGTGACAAGTACATGCCCTGTAATTAGCATTAAAAGCCAAACAACTTGCAATCGTTGGTGCACTGTAGATCCTGGACAATAGAGATGAGATTAAAGAGGATGATATCAGAGAGAGTTTGATACATACAACCAGCATGCACAGTTGTAATAAACAAGAAGGACTACAGCAATGATTTGCCCTCTGCAAGTGCTTCCAGATTCATGTCACTGCAGCTCAAGCCCAACGAGTCGATCCCCATGGGATCAATTTGATTTAGCTTACATAACAACCACAGCTCTCTGGCTGTTGTTGATGTTTCTGGGTCTCTCCCTCCAGCATAATACGCCTGTATTTTCAGTGCAGAAAGAAGCTGTTGGTATTTGATAAACACTTGCAATGTGGCAGATGTTCTCAATCCTCCACTGTGAAGCTCGCTCCCTTTCACCACCAGCGAGTCCTTCACGGTACACAGACAGAGTTGTACTGGAGATGAAAGAGATGCATTTGACTGGCTTACGGCACCTGGATTTGAAGATTTGTGGCGTCTTCATCTTCAACTAAAAACTGAAATGGAAAAAAAGCTCTGATGAAACCGCTGTACGTTTGCTACCCAGCACCAAACAGCAGACAGACAAAGTTAGCGACTATGTGGGGAAAACAGTGGAGCATTCAACAGCTGAGGAGAGTGCTGGTGGAGACCAAAACAGAGTTAATATTGGACTTAAAACACGACTCCAAATATATGCTAATTCTTTCTGCTGGATGTGTAATCAGACAACTATATGTTAATGCGTTAATCATAACTGTCGAGGTCCATAAAGCCATTGTTCTGGCAATTTTTGTAATAGTGATATATATATACAGTATATATATATATATATATATATATATATATATAGCTAAATATGCTACTTTTCTCAATTTTAGATCACAAATTTCATCTAACCTCACTTTCAAGTTCACAGTTATCATGTAACATTAATTGAACTTAAACAAAGGTTCATTAGCAGTCGTCGTGCTGTCATGATAATCATTTCTGAAAATCTTATTTGACGTTCAGTCCCTGTGACAATTATTTTCTCCTCTCATCAGCGTTTAATCGCTGTGTAAAAAAAATAAAAAAAAAGGCAACTTGTGTCAATGTTGGTGTGACATTGGTGAAACGGCTCTTCACTGTGACTGAGCAGTAAAGGATCCAGCTGAGCAGTAGTATGATCAGGGAGCAGGCAACGTGAAAGGCCACACCCCGTTTGAAGACTTGATATCTTTGGCAAAAATTCAAGAGTTCCCTGTCGAGGCCTTGAATCAGTCCCCTTGTTTCTGCATAACGGCAATGAGGCCTGACGGACCTGAGAGAAAGAATGAGGTTAAATGTTGGAGGAGGGGGAACGAGAACAGCCTGAGAGCATCCACAAAATGTCCTCATTCAACCTTGTTCTATATCTGTCCTGCCCGCATCCTCGTTTCCCCTCCACACCAACTGTACTACCTCTGGGATCAGCTGATAAGCTACACATCTCTTTGGCCTCACTGTCCCTATTTGTCAAGTCACGTCCTTTCCTGCTCTGCACCACGATCTCTTGAAACCATGAAGATAGAAGGGCAATCCGGAAGGATGGGATGGAGTAACGGAAATGTTGAAAAGCCGTCGATAGAGGACGACCCGGCGTCTCTTGATGTGTGGATGCTAGCTTTGATCTAACCCCTTTAAGTCTTTCCCTGCTTTTACGAGCCGTCTTCTCTCTTCACTTCTGACTTTAAAATGTCAACCCTTTTCCTTTTGTATGCGTTTAATGTATGAGGCAAGCCAGGTCATCTGTGTCTGATTAATGCCACTCTCCTGGTCCCTGGGGTTCTTTGTCTCCTACCCAAAGCGCAGTTTGTCTCGAAATTGCAGCAATTGTGTTTTGAAGCGCGTGTGTAGTGCAACCGACCTGAAAGATGGTGCGGACAGAAGGAATTCAGCGGGGGCACTTTAACAACATACAACAGCAACTGAATTGTGATTCGCCGATAACAGTGACATGCTGCCTAGTGGTCAAATCACCACCAAGCATTTTATGAATGCTTCCTTATGCTCATGGCAGATTAACAGCAGTATGAGTTGAGTGAATTTAAACATTATAGTCCAACATTTTGGAAATGATGCATCCAAAATGAAACTGGTAACAGGGAGAAACAGTTGGCTCTGTCTAAACATAAAACTAGCACCTATGAAGCTCACTATCTCGTTTAATTGAAACTGTAACAGAAGTGTAAAAACTACAAATAGTTAATTCCCTAATTACTTTCTTTATAACATACTATACTATGACTTTAATACTTTCTATGATGCCCACATCTATAATGCATTTTAAACATGGATCATAATACAATATATTATTTTTATCATGCATTGTGATCTCTGTTATAATGTATCATAAGTAACTCTAAGTGGTCATTGTTTGCTTTAAATAAAGTGCAAAAAAAGTAACATATTATGCAAGAACGACACAAAAACAAAATGAGAAAATATTTTTTGTGACTCATTCAGCTTTAAAACTTTTTAAATGTTCCGGACAGAGAGCCGGAGTGCCCTGGCTTTGTCATGCTTTGAGAAGGAATAAGTTGAACATAGAGCTGACTGAGGAGGACTCTGCGTGGCTCAATACTTGCAATATGCCATTCAGACAGGTGAGTACATCAAACTCACTGAACTCGCTCTCCAGATCAGCACTGGTAGCCATTGTGTTGCATAGCAACACAGCGTAGTGTTTGTGTGTATACACTGTGAGTCTCTTCTTTGTTGTCACATGTGTGGCCTTCTACCGCTGTGGAGTTCTTATCGTTTAAACATGTCGTCTGCTTTGGTGATGTTTTATTCTGCCGTTGATTGTATAAGGAGTGGCAGGTGGCTTTATAACACTTGTTGCACCTGATGCGATGTCCAGAGACTTTTTTTTTTTAATGTATCGCTGGTCATTTTTTCAACACTGAGTTGTGTGTCATTTCTGGTTAATTCTACTGATAATCAGTATGCACATGCTGCAGTGTGCAGTTATGTGATGTTCATTTTATCCTTTTTAAAAATGTAACGCAGTGACGTTTGCATTTTAACTGACCTGCTTTTTATTTTTTAAGTACATTTTTACACTTGTAAATGTACTGTCATAAATATGATTAGGAAAATGATCATCATGGCAGTCTTCAGTTTACTTGTAATAAATGGACTATGGCTTGTCAAAACTTCAGTACGGCCCTTTAATCAGCATTAAAGGGCCGTACTGAAGTTTTCACAAGCCATGACAAATGTGTGCACTTTGGTGCAAAATGCTGCCAAAGTAAGAAGGCTTCATTCATCACAGATCCGGTAGGGTACGATAAT